TGTAGTTTTAATTTAAGTATATGTATGTTTTTCCTGCACCATTAGCATGTTTGGTCCATGAAGGCCATAAGAGAGCATTAAATCCCCTGGAACTGGAGATGTAGATGGTTATAAGCCACCATATGGGTGCTGGACTCAAACCCTGGTCTTCTAGAAGAACATCCGGTGCTCTTAACTGCTGAGCCATCTCTCTAGTCCCGGAACATGTAAATTTTAAGCAGTTATATGTTTCTTTTGGTTTTGGGCGTTGAACAAGGGTCTTGTGCATGGTTGTCACATTCCTTACCACTGAACTGAGTTATGTGTTTCTTTTGGTTTTGAGTGTAGAACAAGGGTCTTATGTGTGGCTATCACATTCCTTACCACTGAACTGAGTTATGTGTTTCTTTTGGATTTGGGTGTTGACAGGGGTCTTGTGCATGGCTGTCACATTCCTTACCACTGAACTGAGCTACGTCCTCGCTTCACTTGGCTTTGTCTAGTTTGTCTTTAGTCTTCAATCCACGGAACCTGAAGGGAACAACTTCCCATGAGTCTCTCTCTCCTTTCTCAGGAGCTCCCTTTGGGGTGTGCCCCCCCACACACTCACTTATTTTTAATGGGGGGCGTATGGGAATTTGACTCATTCTACTCAAAGTTTCTTGAGTGTATGGATTAATAGTTTTCATGTTTAGGAACGTTTTTGGCTAGTATTTCTTCAACTATTTTCCCTCTTTTCTTTAAATCCCGTTGTTTTGATCAGTCCACTTAATAGTTTCCATGTCTTTAAAACTGTTCACCCCTCCTCACTGTTTCTTCTTTTTTTGTGTGCCTCAGTTTTCTCACCTCAGTTGATGTACTTTCTCTTTAACTCCTCTGCTGCTCACGACTGCCAGTGCGTCCTCCTAATGAACTTTTTATTTCAGTTTTTCTATTTTTCACCTTTAAAATTTAGTTCACTTTTTAATAGCACTTGTACCTTCGTTGATATTATTTGCTGAAACATTTTAAGGTATTGATTTTAATTTTTTAAATTTTTAATCAAATCTAAAGTCTTTGTCTACTAATTTCAAAGTCTGGGTTTCCCAAAATGCTTATTAATTCTTTTATCTTCTTTGTATTTACCATATTTCTTGGCTTGGTTTTATTCATGATTCTATTTATTTATTTATTTATTTATTTATTTATTTATTTATTTATTTGTCAGATTCTTGGGTGTTTGAATTATCTTTGTTGGCATTTGTTTTAGTAATTCTTATGAATTAATTCCACAAGGTCTTTATTCTTTACTGTGTGTTCACTCTGGCACCTACCAGTTTGTGTGTTGATTAATAGAGAGATTTTCTCAGATTCCTGCCACCCGTAAGTCACAGGCTGTGCCTGAGCATCTCTGTGGGCGGTGTAGGGCAGCACACGCAGCTATTTCTCAGCCCAGCTTCAGCTTTGACTCCCTTCCTGTGCAGTCTCAGGCTGGGGTTTGGGTCTTGGATGGTTCCTGGGCATGTGTGTAGCCTTGAGCAGACACAGTTCCTTCCAGACTGCTAGGAAAATAGGAGAACTTGAGAACTTCAGACTCCCAGTGGACGTCTCATTGCCCAGACCTTTTTTTTAAAGCTTTTTGGTTGGTGTATTTTTGTCCACTGTCCACTGGCCCTCGAGGCCATGCAGTTCATAGATTTCGTGTCACTGTTTGCAATCATCACTCCTCCGCAAAGGCTTTTAGCACCGTGTGAACACCAATCCAGGTCAAGTACAGGCCACTTTATAAGTAGTTTTCTTGAGAGCCACAGGCAGGTTAAGTGATGACATTTTTTTCTGGGAATGATGCTTTAAAACAGCTTCATCCCACTTCTGTGTGCTGTGTTACCTCCAGATTGCTGCCTGTGTGCTGTGTTACCTCCAGATTGCTGCCTGTGTGCTGTGTTACCTCCAGATTGCTGCCTGTGTGCTGTGTTAGCTCTAGACTGCTGCTCTGTGTGCTGTGACCTCCAGACCGCTGCCTGTGTGCCATGACCTCCAGACTGCTGGCCTGTGTGCTGTGACCTCCAGACTGCTGGCCTGTGTGCTGTGTGACCTCCAGACTGCTGGCCTGTGTGCTGTGACCTCCAGACTGCTGGCCTGTGTGCTGTGACCTCCAGACTGCTGGCCTGTGTGCTGTGACCTCCAGACTGCTGGCCTGTGTGCTGTGACCTCCAGACCGCTGCCCTGTGTGCTGTGTGACCTCCAGACTGCTGCCTGTGTGCTGTGTGACCTCCAGACTGCTGGCCTGTGTGCTGTGACCTCCAGACTGCTGGCCTGTGTGCTGTGACCTCCAGACTGCTGGCCTGTGTGCTGTGACCTCCAGACCGCTGCCCTGTGTGCTGTGTGACCTCCAGACTGCTGCCTGTGTGCTGTGACCTCCAGACTGCTGGTCTATGTGCTGTGTGACCTCCAGACTGCTGGCCTGTGTGCTGTGTGACCTCCAGACCGCTGCCTGTGTGCTGTGACCTCCAGACTGCTGGCCTGTGTGCTGTGACCTCCAGACTGCTGGCCTGTGTGCTGTGACCTCCAGACTGCTGGCCCCTCTGGCTGTTTTCAGGATGACCATAGCATTAGAGTGGGAGGTTTCGCGCCGTGACAAGGGCAAGTTTGCTCTGCCCTGCCCAGGTTCAGCCACATTATCATGAATTCACAGCCACAGATTGCTCTCTACTTTCGGTTAATGTCCGCAGTGTGGAAAAGGTTGATTCCGACCCTTTGTGCTAACTCCTTTTCTGCTTTTATGGAGAATAAATGCTTCATAGGTTCTTGGTCCATGACTTTTACTGGCACCACCTCTACAGCTTCTTTTCTTTTTCTTTTTCTTTCTTTTTTTTTTTTTTTTTTTTTGAATTTTCAAGACAGGGTTTCTCTGTGTAGCTTGCACCTTTCCTGGATCTCGCTCTGTAGACCAGGCTGGCCTCGAACTCACAACGATCTGCCTGCCTCTGCTTTCCAAGTGCTGGGATTAAAGGCGTGCGCCACCACCGCCCGGCTAACAGCTTCATTTTCCTTTAGAAATTGGCATCTTGGCTAAAGCATAATCTATGGCTTCTAGGTCAACTCGATATTCTCATCACTGGTGAGATATTTAATTGCTAATTTAACTTTTTGTATACATGCAGGTTAGAGGATCATAAAGAATTTAGATTCTTTGTTTACTCTGTGATCTCAAATAGCTAATTAAATAGTCTAACTCATATTTAGACTGGTAAGACAGCTAAGAATTTTTGTATTTAACATTTTTGCCAAAATGTAACAAAAGAGAATCTTTGTATCTTCAAGGTCTGCAATTTCTGTGTCATGTTCCAGTACCTCTAATTGGAAGCTGGCAGCTATAAAAGCCATTTCTTGTTAACAGTTAGGAAGAGTTGATGCTCTGGCCCTCCCCCTTACATAGGCAGCAAGTACTGGTGTCTGAATCAAGTACTAAGGAAGATCTAACTTTTTTATGCCCTTTATAGTCAACAGTTGGTAGCACAAAGGAACTATTTCAGGGTTCCTTGTCAATAAAACCCTTTTTCAATAATGAGTTCCCAATGAAGTCCTGTCATCTAAGAGAGGTCCATGTAGTGTTACTGTCCTTCCTACTCATTAAGACCCAAGGACAATGTTCGAACTGGAGAATTCACAAAAGGCAAGCCTGAACCTCTTTCTCAACTTACTCTCTCATAAGCTCGTCTTGATATGGTGGATAGAATAATATGAACCTCTTTCTCATAAGCTCATCTTGATATGGCAGATAGAATAATATGTTAGTGTTTACTTCTTTGATCCCCTCAGCATTCCGAAACACACTTCAATGTTGTGTGAAAGAAATGAAACTTCACCTTTATCTCTTCCTATCAGTTCCAAAGAAAAAGCCCAGCAGATCGGGCCTGTACTTAGAAGGGAGCCTTCAAAAAAAAAAGCACTCAAGCTTTTGCTGCTAGAGAATCTCTCTCTTTTCCATTCTGAAACAGTTATTTAGAAACTCACTTCCAATATTTTCTTTCCCTGTTTATGTCCGTTCCTAACACAGAATTCATATTGTAGGGGATGAGAATTAAAATACATACGTGATGTATTTACTAGAGAAACCTAAGACAGCTCTTCCAGGTGGTGCTATTCTTGAAGAATTTCACTTACATAGACCTCTCTGGCTTGTGATCTGTTTAACACTGTGTGTGTGTGTGTGTGTGTACGAATTTCTAAATGGTCTTATTAAATAAAAAACATGAAGCCAAATATAGGAATGAACGCCTTAGATCAGGGAAATAGTGATAGCCATCAGCTAACCTTATCTCACCAGCTCTGCAGTTTCCAAGTGCAACGACTTCCTGTCTACCCAGGCCTTTATTGCCTTGCTGTTCTGCCCTCTCATTGGTTGTCTTAACCCCACTACCTCACTTCCTCTTCCTACACAGCTCTGTCACTTTCTGTCTGTCTGCACAGATCTCCAGATCCCTACGGTTGGTACTGGGATTAAAGGCGTGTGTCATCATGCTTGGCTCTGTTCCCTAGTATGGCCTTGAACACAGAGAGACCCTGCCTGCTAAGTGATAGGATCAAGGGCATGTGCTACCACTACCTGACTTTTGTGTTTACTTAAAATGGCTTGCTATTTCCTCTGATCTCCAGGCAAACTTTATTTATTAACATACAAATAAAATATCACCGTGTGTGTATAAGTGTGTGTACATGCACGTATATGTGAGTAAAGTTACCTTTCTCTTTAATGTACTTTTCAGTAATAGAACAAAATGTTCTTGATCAAACCAAAGTTTTCTTGTTTACTTGTTAGTCAAGACTTTTTAAATGTTTAGCCTCTTTGCATGCACATTATTGACCAAATAGTCTTATGATGAGAATTTTGGTACAGATGCTGGGATCATGTACTAAATTAAATTGTACCTTGCATTAGATCATTGCTGTGTGGTAGACACTTATGTCAGCTTAATGATTTTATGCTTTCAGTATCAATGTTTAGAACTGTATTGTAATAAATGTATTTTTCATTTTAGATCATTTGGGGAATATTTTTCATCTTAGTTGCATTGCTGTTTGTAATTTCTCTCTTCCTGTCAAAGTAAGTACAATAGACATATTTTCTAAAGCACTTACACAAATTCTTTGATGACATCCATTTTGGTGCTGAATTCCATTAGTGGAGCCTGTTCTACCTGAAGGGTTGTACAGCATTAACCCAAAGAGTCTCTAAAAGGTCTTGTAATAGACAGCATTTCCTTTTACTTACTGACAGTTTCTCTGGGACATTCAAGCAAAGTTGAGTTTGTTTTCTGTGGCCCAACAGAGGTGGCATGCTTACATTGTGATGCTGTTCTTTCTGGCTGGGCTGGAAATGTGATGCTATAATGTAAACTCCTTCTTCACCATGTTTTATTTTAGTTTAGATAAAGCTCTTCATTCAGCTGGAATAGATTCTGGTTTCATCATCTTTGGAACTAACCTGAGTAATCCATTGAACATGCTTTTGCCTTTGTTACAAACAGTAAGTAACATGTCAGTCATTTTTCACTCCAGCAAAACACTGTGTCATTCTGTCCCATTAAAATCATTATTATGGAGACTTAACAAAAGTCAGACATGTGCTGGAGCTCTGCGCTAATTTTTTATTTGCAGATGCTTCCTAAATTGACATTGGTTTGTAGAAAACTGTATCTGTGTATTGGCTGACTTTTGATATGGGGTGCTTAGTATTACCAAAGATGAACCAAACAGTATTTGGTTTTTAATTTTTAATTAAGTACTTTATTTCACATATAAAAATACAACATAATTTTTTTAGAACTTTTCCCTTAGGATATTGTTACTAGTAACATAATGGTAGTTTGGATTTTATGAAAATATTTTACTTTTTATGGTATTCTCATATTAGCCTAATCTGAAAGGAGATTAATATTGTAATTATCTAGTATAAATAATTGTTTCCAGCTATTTTGTTTTAACTTCTAGAGCTTTCCTAGCTTGGCTGTTAAACTTGATTTTCTTTTTTTTCCCCCAGGTGTTCCCTCTTGATTATATTCTTATAACAATTATTATTATGTACTTTATTTTTACTTCGATGGCAGGAATTCGAAATATTGGCATATGGTTCTTTTGGATTAGAGTAAGTATATGATATCTTCTGGCTTTTATATTTATTACTTTGTACATTATTTCCATTGTGGCAATCTGTCCTCTTTGTTAGTTTGTGTGTTATTTGAGAAAAAGTCTTTGTAGCCCAGATTGGCCTCAAGTTGGTGATTTTCCTGCCTTTGCCATCTTTGTGCTAGGATGATAGTATGCGCAGCCACAGCCCACTCTCATATTTAGAATATATTATGTATAGATATAGTATGTACAGCCACAGCCCACTCTCATATTTAGAATATATTATGTATAGATATAGTATGCACAGCCCACTCTCATATTTAGAATATATTATGTATAGATATAGTATGTACAGCCACAGCCCACTCTCATATTTAGAATATATTATGTATAGATATAGTATGCACTGCCACAGCCCACTCTCATATTTAGAATCTGTTATGTATAGATATAGTATGTACTGCCATAGCCCACTCTCATATTTAGAATATATTATGTATAGATATAGTATGTACAGCCACAGCCCACTCTCATATTTAGAATATATTATGTATAGATATAGTATGTACAGCCACAGCCCACTCTCATATTTAGAATATATTATGTATAGATATAGTATGTACAGCCACAGCCCACTCTCATATTTAGAATATATTATGTATAGATATAGTATGCACAGTCACAGCCCACTCTCATATTTAGAATATATTATGTATAGATATAGTATGTACTGCCACAGCCCACTCTCATATTTAGACTATGTTATGATCTTAAAAGTGATAGAAATACTAACATTATGTTTCATGTTAACAGAAAAGTGCTTTCTCTAGAGCAGGAGGTTGTTTTGTGCATACACACACACACACACACACACACACACACACACACATGCACACACTCAGATATTTAGCAATGTTTGGAAACATTTTTTAGTTACGATTACTAGGGACTACTGTGGAAATCTAAGGGACAGGGATCGGTGATGCTGCTAATTAAACATTATCTGCTGAGGTTGAAAAATCTCAATCTAGAAGGCATGTTGTTTGTCTTAGCGTTTGATTGCATGGACATACAAACTAACACAGTGGATACACTGACCTTCAACGCTTTCCTTCCCTGTTAGATGTCAGGGATTGCTACTGTCCGCCCTCTGTCTTCATGACTTCCCCAACCAAATAGACTAAATAGGACTGACTTTTTCCCTTTCATTATTCCTTGAACAACGTAACTATTGACACTACACTTAGGTTAGTTATAAGTAACTTAGGCATGATTTAGAGTATACAGGAGAGTCTGCATAGGCTATATGTAAATTCTACACCCTTTCACATGATGGAGATGGAGTTGAGTATATGCAGATTTTAGTGCCATACCAAAGACAACTGTGAATATTGCTTATTTTTTTATATTCATCCTGAGATAATTATTATGAATTGTAAATTGATGCTGAATCAGATAGACATTACTTCTAGATACAAATAAAAGAAAACCTAGTAAATATGCATATGAACTGAAGAGAAACTTCTTTCTATGGGGGGAAAGGCTTTAGGGTGAGATCCAATAGTGCTGTGGTCCTTTCTGTTTTTTATTTGGAATATTCTCTTATGTGACCACTCCTGAGCACAAGGGATCTGGGAAATGCACATTTCTAAGTGACTGTGTTGTCATCTCATCCAGAACAGAAATCCTGTTCGCCTGTAATATGCTGTTATCTGGTAAAACAGCAGCAGGATGATACTTCAATTACTAGAGTAAAGTGGGGCTCACCTTTAAAATGGAACAAGTCGTATAATTCCTTAAATTACAGTTAACACTTTAATTCCCCTTTAGCACAGATAAAAATATCTTATCTATAATCAGATTATCATAAATTATCGTAAGCTGATTTTTAAAACAGACTATAGTATGAAGTTATCATGACTATTTTATAAAAATTAGTAAGCCAGGCGGTGGTGGCACACACCTTTAATCCCAGCACTTGGGAGGCAGAGCCAGGTGGATCTCTGTGAGTTCGAGGCCAGCCTGGGCTACCAAGTGAGTTCCAGGAAAGGAGCAAAGCTACACAGAGAAACCCTGTCTCAAAAAACAAAAAACAAAATAGAAAGAAAGAAAAATAGAAAAATTAGTACTTATAAGCACGTAACATCTGTTCTTTTTTTTGTCACATCTGTTCTTATATGCTAATATTGTATAACACCAGAACTATAAAACCATAAACACGTTTCTAATACTTATGTTTAAATTCATGCTCTGAACCTGTAGATAGAACATGGGGTAGTTCAAGCTCTTACTTCTATAAACAAGCTGGAAGGAACTGTGGAAGAAACTCAGAAACCCTGCCTGGAAGCCAGTGATGTATAAATAAGCTCGTGATCACTAATGAACCATGTTTATTTTATTATTTTCTGAAATATTTTAATAAGATCCTTGGGACGTAGGTTCTCTGACATTATTGTCAAGTACACATAAGGTTAACACTAAAGTTTTCTAGGAAAAAAATGGTCTTTTTTGTTCTTTTGTTCTTAAGTTATTGGGGTTTACTTCAGAGCAATGGAACTGTATCAGTGTGTCCTCATAATATAATAAATAGCCTGACTTCAAGTTTCAAAATAACCTTGGTGAAACTTGTCGCTTTTTGTTTTTTTATTTTCCCCAGTTATATAAGATCAGAAGAGGACGAACCAGGCCTCAGGCACTCTTATTTCTGTGCATGATACTTCTGCTAATTGTCCTTCATACCAGCTACATGATCTATAGTCTTGCTCCTCAGTACGTTATGTATGGAAGCCAAAATTACTTAATAGAGGTAAGTGCAGTATTTAAAATTCTATTACTTCTATAGTTTAGAAACACTGATGAAAACTAAAAGAAATAAAAATAAACTTAAGAAAACAAATTTAGAGACATTTAAAAGCAAATTCTATTTATTATTTATTAAATTTATTATTGACAAAACTGGTTTTTCAATATCTGTGAACATATTTATGTTTGTTTCATACTTTTTAAAATAACATAATTTCGTTATAAATATACATTAAATGGATCCTGTGACACAAAGCTATTGTGCTTTTCCTCAGCACTTCATTAACTAATACTCCTAATGCTTCTACAAAAATAGTGCTTTTAAGTGATTCTAATAACATGTTTCCAAAAGTTCTGGAGAGTACATCATGTTTGTGCATTGTTACTGTAACTCAATGAGAGAGGTTTCCTGAATATTTTATCTGTGAATAATTGGGCTTCATTTAAACACCATGAGTTCCTTGGTGCTATTTTTCTGTTTTCTTGATATGGTTGACTAATAAAAACCAACAATGTTTTTTAGGTTTAATTGAATGTAGCAAGTTTGGATTTTTGACAATTTAAAATATTTTGCCATATTGGATTCAACATTTGTCTAGTATGTTATTTACTTTACTTTTCTGTTGCTGTGATAAAACACCATGACCAAGGCAATGTATAGAAGGGAGTTTATTTTAGCTTATGGTTCCAAAGGGTTAGTGTATAATGGCAAGGAGTAGGCAGCCGCAGGCATTGGGGCTGGAGCAGGATGCTGAGAGCTCACGGTTTAACTACAAGCACAAAGCAGAGAGAGTAGCTGGAAGCTTTTTTCCTCTCAAATCCCTCCTCCCCCACCCCCCAGTGACGTACTTCCTCAGGCAAGGCCACACCTCTTCAACCTCCCCATAGTGGAGCACCAGCAAAGGACCAAGTGTTCAAATACTCAGGACTGGGGCAAGGGGACTTTCTCATTCAAAACACCAGGTTTAGTTTATTTCCTTTTCCTAAAGGCGTCTTGCAGTGCTTCCCAACAGTGTACATTGTATCCATGTGTTGCCCATTGCTTCAATGGGGTCTTCATTATCCATCTGTCCTCCGGATCTCTTTTCTCTTGTACTGCCTCCATTTTCTTGTTTATTTTTACATGAAATAAATAAATAAATGCACATCAGTTCTTGCATCAATAACATCTCTAGTTTTGTAAAGTATTAAAAGGAAGATACTTCAAAGAGAATATGAGTTGATTAATAATGTAGATGGAGCACTTAAGTCTGATCATGTGGGACATGAGTCTGGGAACGCCAGGCTAGATCACCAGATCCCATACGCCGACTCTGCTATTCGCCTCATCACTTACCTGCTTTACAGATACTGATACTCAGTATGTTCTTGTGGAACTGACGATTATGCCTTTGTATTGAGAAAAGATAGTTTTCCCTATTTCCTTTTTCTTTCCTTCCTTTCCACTTTGCTTCTCACCATCCACTCTTCTCCCCACCCCTCCCTTCTCTGCTTCTTTTTGTGTAGTAGGGAAGGCTGCTTTTTGAATAGGGCTCTTTTTTCACAATCGTTCTGCATTGGACTCCCAACTGCTGCAATTTCAAGTGGAATCCACGGTCCAGGCTTTTGCCTTTTTCTTTTTTGATATCTTGCTACTTCTGAAAAGAGTCCTATTGTTTAATATATAAGACCTAAATTAGTTGCAAAAGCACTTTAATATTGAATTTATCATAACTTCTTGTCTTATAATTTACATTAAAGTAATACTTTAGAATATTAGATGCCATTAGTAGAAAGAATATGAAAGTTTGTAATATGATTAATCCAAATACATTCATGACTACAGTATTTTTATTTTAATCTTATTTTCATCTTTCAGAGCAATATAACTTCTGATGTCCATAAAGGCAATTCAACCCTTCCTGTGCCAAAAAGATGTGATGCAGATGCCCCTGAAGGTAAAGCAGCTGTTGTTAGACTGTCTTAGGATTTTTAATTTGTAAGAACTTCATTAGGCAGCCTACCGGAAGGTGTGGTTAACTCTACGTAGTGGAGACTCGGAGAATGATAGCCAGAGAGACGTTTTTGGACTAGAGATACTGAAGCAGCATTTCAAGGTCAAGCTGTCCCCTGCCAAAGAACAAGGCATGCAGACAATGATTGGGAAGTTACACAGTTGTGTGCTCAAGAGTTTAAAGCATTGTTACTCTAACATTTCATTTTTTGTTTATGGGGATGAGTGTTTGACGACTGAAGGAAACTGCAGAATTAGGAATGAGATCCTAAAAGGTCTGTGGAAGTGACAAAAAGAAAGTTTTAAGTAAGGACATAGAAGTTATTTTGTAATTTATTTTTCTAAAAGTTAAATCTGATAGTTAATATAGAAAAGGGATTTGAGATCAGAGCATGTAAGTAAATTAGGGAAGGAAGAATTCTAGAGTGACCCAAGACAGATGGGAAAACTTGAGTAAACTGTAAAGTGTGAGATGAAAGACATTGGTACAATTAGACAGAGGGTAAGGGGTGTTGAGGTGCCTGGAGGTATCTTAAGGGACATTCAGAGAGCTCATGACATTTGGACACGTGTGCTAAGAACTGAAGAGAGGGGCTGACAGCGGAATGAAGACTGGAACAGAGAGCAGAAAACGAGAACACAGAGAGGAATGAAAAGCAGAAAATTTTAACGATGCTCAGAAAACTAGCTGAGTAAAGAGGAGTATGAAGTAAGGAAGATATTTACCTAAGTCATTTCTGAAATTCACGGTAGAGACTGGAAGAGACGTAGATAAAAACTAGAAAAGGCATGCATGCAGAAAGAAGGGTTTTGTTGCCTAGATTACAAGAGGCTTTAGGAGTTAATGAGATAGAATTAGGAAAAAAGAGGTTGAAGAAAAATGTTAGAAAGGATGAATGATGGTCCTGTGTCACCCAGTTCTGGATATGGCACTAAAGACATTCAAGACAGAACACTTGAAACAGAATGTGACTACCACTTTTCCTAGATTACAGAGCTGGATAAGTAACTACTGTGATCTAAGTGTTAGCAGGAAGTGCCATTAATATCTCATTATCTCAGTTTTCCATGAAGTATAAGTTCAAACTGTCCACCAGGATTTATTGGACCATGAAGTAAACAATGGAAAAACATGGCAATAGTTTCTGATAGTTCATGACAGAGACCAGAAGAATTTGTTTAAAAATAAGCTAATGAAAAAAAAATAAAATAAGCTAATGATGGAGATAAGTATGTATAGGGAAAGAGAAGAAATTATCAGTCTGTGCTTTTCTTGAATCAGTCAACAGAACTGATATGATTGACTTCAAACAGTAATTGGGTGGACTGGAAGCATGTGACCTAGAGGCTCGAATTTAAGATGGAAAATAAGGTACAGGTTCAGGTTTAGAGAATACCATGTTCCCAGATGTTAACATTAGAAATCCCTAGACCCAAAATCTTATTCTGCTGTCACATTCAATTATTTGGAGCTTTCTTGAAGTAAATTCATTGTCTTATTTGGATGTTAGAGTAACTGAACATGTAATCATCTCTGTAAAGCATACCTCATTTTTGTGTGTTCATTTTGTTTAGTGTATTTGCTCACATAACAGAGCAGAGCCTTAAAAGAAATCAGATAATCTGTAGGGTTATACACTCAGATACTAAAGTATAAATTGATATGCTATCCCAACTAGATGAATTATTAAATAGCCAAATAGACAGAATTTTAAAACATGATAATATACATAGGAGATATAAAAGAAAAAAATGGGAAATATTTGCATGACTAATACTAATGTTAAAAGAAGTTAGTAGAGTAGTTGTACATTGATATCTTACTATAGAAAGAGTTGATCACTATGATCATAAGCCTATCATCCAGGGATGATTCACAGATCCAGACTGCATAGATAAAATCTGATTGCAAGTCATTTTTTCTGCCAGCAGATACAAGGTGACCTGTGGCCCTGAAACCATTTATCTAAGCTGCTACATAGGTTAGGGTTAGAGAATTTATCCGCACTCATACATTTTTTGCATGGAAATCATAACAATGGGAAGAAAGCCAAAAAGAGCCACACAAATTATAAACAGTTCTAAAAGTATAAGCCATAATATAATGAAGAAAACATCTAGAAATGCCACGTGAACAATCACTTCCTCCTTGTGGCAGATGCAGACTGGATTCTGAGAGAGAAGGCCTGAAGAGCTGGGCAGACAGGATGAGCTTTAAGCTTTCATCTGAGGAACCAGATTCCAAGTCTTCTTTTTGCCTCTACATTTAATATGTTTTTCTGTTTCATTTAAGAGAGAGGAAATCTAACAGTATTACATTATTTGTCCTTTAAATTTTAAAAATAAAGTTTTGCTACTTCTTTCTAAATAAAATAGAATACTTATTCCAACCAATGATGTAATGGAAGTCACAGACAATATAAAGAGACTGACAGAAACAGACAGGTGACCCTAGGTCATTAGAGAGACACAGTATGGAAAATGAGAGAGGAAACAGAAGACTAGGATTTTAGTACCCAAGAAAATGCCCTGTTCAGTGATTAGTGGTGTAGATGCTTGAAGCAAAGTTCTTAGTGATGAGAAAGCCTTGGGACTTTGAGAATGCAGTTTTCATAGAATATACTAAGCTATGGTACTAGAGAATAAAGGAAAGAAAGTGTAAAATGAAGGAAATTCCCTATTGTAATGTAGCTTTGAAGTACTCTTAATAATTGTATGGAAATCTAATTTTTGGGTTTTTTTTTGGTTTTTTTTTGTTGTTGTTGTTTTGTTTTGTTTTGTTTTTTCGAGACAGGGTTTCTCTGTGTAGCTTTGCGCCTTTTCCTGGAACTCACTTGGTAGCCCAGGCTGGCCTCGAACTCACAGAGATCCGCCTGGCTCTGCCTCCCGAGTGCTGGGATTAAAGGCGCGCGCCACCACCGCCCGGCGGAAATCTAATTTTTAATACAGACTCATACTAAAAGACATTTCGGAGCCTGCTATTTAACCAATTCTTATCAAGGTGTTTTGAGTTTGTTTGTTTGTTTGTTTGTTTGTTTTTCAAAAATGAATGTATTCTTAATTCTCTCTGTGTGTTAGTGTTCACTGTCAACTTGACACAGTCTGGAAGCACCAGGAAAGACAGTGCTAATGGGAGGTTCCAGGAAAGTGAGTATAGAAAGAGACTTGCACAGACTTAATGTTGGAATTGTTGACACATAATGGAGGGGCTAACTGGAGGGAAGGAATAAAACAAGCTCAAAATTCCAGCAGGCAACAAGCTAAAACTGAATAAATAAATCCCTAGCAGATTTATAAATGATCCTAATCAAATATTTAGAGATAAGTATAACAGGAGTGACTGAAATTAAACCCAGTGTAGAAATCTTAAGATGAAAGCAACATGGAGTGAGTTGTAAAGAAGAAGGAAATAATAGCTGTACCTCAGAGGAACTGGACAAAATCTCCATCAGGCAATCACAATCAGCATCACTGAGGAGCAAAGGTGCTGTGTGCACCTCATGAAATGACAGCCTCACAACACTTTAGAACGTGACTCAGTGGATTAATATCAGACAAAGCCAGACTGAAGAGCAAACTACAGTAATTAGCCTGGTGCTTCAAAATGCTAGTGTCCTAAAAGGTAACGGGAGAAATTGTTACAAAAGTAAGAACATTAAAGAGATATGCTCAAATGTGGTCCATGGTCCTGAATTGGACCCTATAGTGGAGACGAAAGTCCTAAAGGATATTAATGAGATAAGGGACAGGTGGAAAACACACAAAATAAAACATGTCCTATCAATGGTAAATTTCTGGACTTTTGTACCTGTACTATAGTTACATAGAAAATATCCTGCTTTTAAAATGCTGACATGTAGCTGGGTGTAGTAGTGCACACCTTTAATCCCAGAACTTTGGAGGAAGAGGCAGGCGGATCTCTGTGAGTTTGAGACTAGCCTGATCTACAGAGTGAGTTCCAGGACAGCCAGAGCTACATAGTGAGACCCTGTCTCAGAAAAACAAAAACAAAATAATCAACAGCAGCAAAATGCTGCAATATTGGGCAGGCACACCTAATATTTCCTGTTGAGGAAACAAGAAAAGCCAATCTATATCCTCAAGGGCTGCTGTTTTTAAAAATGTACCAATAGTATACCAAGATTGCAAAAGTTGGCATTTCTGAGTATCATTTGGGGGTTAATTATACACCTATGTATTCATATTTTATCTCTTTTCCAATAATGAGTTAACATGTCCCACCAACTTTAGCTAAGAAACATCACAACAATAAAACAAACTCATCATTGAGAACTTAAAACAGCAGTACATGAAATGCAGTACTGTGGCTTTTCATGCCTTCACATAAAAAGCAAGTACCATATAATGGTAGGTGGAAGAGTCCAGACATACGTAAATACTCTGACTTGTCAATACCTGTCTGACTTGTCAATATACATAAGCAAAGTATAAAATTCTAGTTTTACCTCCTGCAAGAGTTGAATATTTACTTTGTGCCTCTTAAGCTAAATACCTCTTGTTACTTACAATTAAAGGAAAAAGAAGCACCAGTGAATGTTTTTAAGGGTAAAATCAGTGAAACATCTGCCAGGTAGGAAGTTATATTAGAGAAGATTGCTCCTTTCCATTTATTGAAAAATAGACAGCTGAGAAAGATGTTCTGAAGGTTGTGTTATTAAATTCCTTTCACCATCTTTTCCCCAAACAGTGAGTGCTTAGGCATTATTGAATATCTAAAGTTTCAGGGAATTTTATTTTGAAATCTCAGCACCTAAACAATACTGTTTAAGCAGATTCATTGTTTTGTGGATCTGTATGATTTAAAAATTTTTAAAAAAACTTCTCAGACATTAAATGTAGTTGCATATTTAATTCTTTTAGAAGCAAATGTAATTAGAAGTGTAGCTGAAAGTTTTCCTGTGTCCCTCCCAGTCCACAACTGCT